AACTATCGTACTATGTTCAGTAAAATTTCCAGTTAATTCCTAATCATAAAAATGTGTATTTTACTATACATATTTCTAAAATTTGTCATCTGTCTCTTTTTACAGCATAGGAATGGTAAATGGGACAGCCAAGGGGCAAACAGATCTAATGTTTTATTCTTAATTTAAAGGGATTTTAGGAAATATTAGCTACATTATTCAACCAACGCTAAATATAAATTTCCCATTTTTGACAAAGATAATACTGTAAACAACTTTGATCTGGTATTTTATCAGAAATATTCATCAGCTGAGTTGGAATAACTATTTATTTAATTAATCTATTGTCAAATTGATTTTTTAACTTTTTACTTTTCTATTTACTATTTTTTATTGTTTACACTTTTGTCAGGGTAATGTTCAGTTGGTTGTTTATATTCCACTCATACGTAAGCTATTATAGAGGTTATATAAAAAATCCGTTGAATCTAACCTAAAATTAACAATACATCTTAAAAATATACTATAATAACATATACTTGAAAAGATATTAAGGTCTCGTAAGATAAACTACAGTATTCACAACTAAAAAACTAACAGCAAAAGAAAATATTTTTGTTACGATTTTCAAACATAGCCGTTTATCTCCTAATGGCGATGTTGCTTGATGGCTGATTTAATCAACCTGATTACACACCTTTTTCCCACTACTTTCAAATATTTTGTTAAAAAATTCCCAACTGTACTTGTTTCTGAGATATTCGTTGGTGGACCTTTTTACCGCGGACTTTTATCTCGCTCTACCCTATATGCAACCCTTTCCCCAAAAATTCTCGGCGGAAAAGTAAAACATGTGCCTAACTAAGCGTAGTATTTAAGTTGAAGAATGATTTTTAAATTTGAAAAAGCTACATTATATTAAATCAATTTTTATTGATCATTAGTCACTAATAGTAAATTGTCAAAGAAGCATAGTGATTGTGATGTTAAATACCCATTCAAACTAACAATGTAGACTTATCTTGATGTCGAATTCATGTGATTTATGTAATCAATCGCATCTAACGAATTTTACGATGAATATATTGGAATATTATATTTAGGTCAATCGCAGTGATTAAACTAAACTAAATAAATGTCCGATAAGAAGCTTACTTGTAATACATACACACACATCACATATGTATATATATATAGATGTATATATACATACATACATACATATATACATACATACACACACACATATAATAATATAATGAAAAGTTTTTCAGAACATCATCATCATCTGTGAATCTAACAATCCTGGCTAGTTTAATTAAAATTTTAAATTAACAAACTTTTGTTTTATTTAATAATTGCATAACTGAAAACTTTCCGTATATATCATTTAAACTCCGAATACTACACTGTATGTTCCAGAAATCAACGTCATGCCGAAACGTGGTGATAGTATTGACCATACTGTCCTGACAAAAAATTTATGTTTATGTTGTTTGGCAAAATTGTGTCCATTTTTTGGTTATTGTGGTCAATTTTAATTACTTTTGTTCTTTAAACTTTGAAATCGTAATCGTGAATAACATTTCTAAGACCACAGTTGAAAATAATGACACAATTGCCCCAAATTTTTCAAGAACTAAGACTTTTTACCATTTTTCACCATTCAAGTATTTTATCATACTATAATCCTGATTATTGCGCCAACTTTAGATTAAATTTGTCATAACAATTTAGTGCATTTTTTTTAAAGAATAGCCACTCAAAGCCGACAAATTTTGAAAATTTTAAGTGTATAGTTTAGCAAAAAGTCTCAATTCTTGAAAACTTCGAAAATTGTGCTATTTTTTTTAGCTGTGGTCCTAGAAATTTTGTTTACGATTACGTATTCAAAGCTTAAGTAAACAAAATAATAAAATTAACCAAATAAAAAAATGTTAACATTTTCACCAAAGCTCGGGTAGCACTTAAAAGCTCATAATTTCCAACAAAGTATCTATTTTCTATACTCCGTTCGCACACCAAAATGTCCCTACATTTTGCCCAAAAATTAGCTTATTTGTATTAGCATACACAAATAAGTTCTAAAAGCTTTTTATTTCAAGGAAATACCGACTAAATAATCCTCAATTCCGAATAGTCCAAGTAATACTTCAATAAATACTATCAGCCAATATGAAATTAGTCAACATCATTTAGTCTACTGATGTTACCCCATGTAAAACTTTATGCTTTCAACAAAATTTTAGCTTAAAATTAAACTATATTATTTTACATAATAATAACTAAATCTGAATAAAAGATTATTGAAAATTGTAATTTCATGTGCAAGATAATATAAATGTATTATATACTTATGGATAAGCAGATATTTTATTTAGTAATATACTTTATAAAATCTTATAAAGCGTGATACAAACTCAATTACCGTAGTTTCCGTGCAAACACTATAACATCTTTTTATATTAAAACTAGTTTTCATGTTGTAACAGAACAGAATATAATTTTAGTAAAAGAAAATTCAATAACATTGATATTCTTTGTTCAAGCAGATAACACCGAAAATCGATTATATAATAGTAAAGTAAATAATTAAATCTTACAACTCCGAATTGCAAAGTAATGCAATGATGCATTTGTAGTGACACTGCTGTACGAGCTAACAAGTCGCTAAAGTATTTGTTACATAAAAAATTTAAACATTTTTCAATCATTATCAATAAATATGTATTTAAACCACCAATATCCCAAAAACAAGTAAAGTTTTTTTTTATTATTTATTTATTTTGCAATATATACAGTCAGAAATGGGTGCCTGGTATAAGAGATTATGAATTGCTTCATACATTACAAAGTTAAGTCTTTTATAAAACAATATTTGAAAGTAGCTGGCAAAAGTTGTGTAACCAGCCTACGCCTTTATTTCTATGACGTCGCTATTAGGAAATAAACGGCAATGTTTGAAAAACAATAACAAAAGTATTTTCTTTCCTTGTTAGTATTTCTGGTTGTGAGCCCTGTTGTTTAGTTTACGACACCTTAATCTAATTTTTAACTATATGTTATCAAATTCTTTAAAAGAAGTTCATATTGCTATTGTTAGGTAAGATTCAACATTTTTTTATATAACCACTATAAAATCTCACAGGCGGGTGGGGTAAAAAAGACCAAGTAAACCTTCACCCTAGGCAAACAATAAAAAATAGTAAATAAGAAAGTAAATAATTTTAAAAAAGACAATTTTACAGTAGATAAATTAAAAAAATATTATTCCAACTCTTATAAATATTCTGACAAAATACTACATCAAGGTTATACACAATGTATTCTCTGTACAAAATGTACCCAATAAACTTATATTTTAGATGTAGCTATCTAGCTATTATTTCCTAAAATGCCTTTAAAATTTAGAATAAGATATTGGATCCTCTTGCCTTCTGGCTGTCCGGTTTTACCCCGCCTATGGGGTAAATAGGACCAAATGGCAAATTTTTGAAAACAGCAAAACAACACATTTCTACAATGATGAAATAGCTGGGCGTTTTACTTTACTAGTTTGATCATAAATCTTTGTTTGATATGTGTTATAATCCGAGTTTGAACTACAATTTTTAATTTATCTCTTGTGAAGTTGCCTATTTTAACCTTATTTACTTTTTTATTTACTAATTGGTTGGTTTTTAAATATAATTGCTCAAAGTGAAATTGGACTTTTGTACCCTATGCTTCTAAAAAATCTAGAAATTACGATAACAAATTAGAATTTACAATAATTTAACTCAGAGTGATAAATCTTGAAGCAAAAGTCCTTAACCTTTTGTCGTCTATAGGCGGCACTCATGCACACAGGACGTAAGTAGAAGCCGCCTATAAGCGACGCTCATAGCAAAATGGAATACGATTTTTGTATTATAGGGCACTATTACTATAAGTTCAAAACTGTTGAAACACATAGACCGACAACAAACGACAATAATAGAGTTTCGCTCAAAGTTTTTGGTGCTGAACCAAAGCAAATA